TTATTTACAGATCCAGTATGATAGAAGCAACACCATTATACAACAGTGAGTGTAGTCCAGTACTTTTGAAGACACAACAGTTGATAAGGGCACAGATAAAGGCAGATGCTCTAGAGTTAAGGTAAATTAATTCAGTGAAGTTATGATGATTTATACCAGTTGAAGATCTTTCCCAAGGTGCTCAGCACACAGGAGAAGATAAAAAAGACCTCACAGCATGAGACTTTTAATGGTCTTTCTATATAAGCTATATACAGTATTATACTTAGCTCAGAAGAAATTAGAAAAAACTTGTTTCTCTAAAGGAGCTGAAGCTGGCTTCCAACTCAAATCTTACTTATGAAAACAAATCCATTCATAAATCAAATCTTCCACCCAGATGTTTTAGGAACTCTATGAACACTAAGATGTAGTAAACACATTATAACACTTTTGTTCCTAAGTCTGAGAGAGCTCTTATGGACAAGATGATAGAAAAAACCTTGCATATTGTAATACCATTGGGTTAAAGAGGGGGAAAAAAGGAGCTCATAGTCAAAACAAGTTTAAATTATAACCTGGAAATTTTTCCTGTTTAAAAAAATTTAATGCTTGTATTAAACCCATGATACACACAAAGACAAGATTTCCTGAAAAGAACACAAGGCTGGCAATGGATCAGTCTGCAGTAGATTATGTCAGTGGTTCTCAACCTTTGGTACCTTACGTACCTGCTGCTGATCGACACGGCAAAAGCGAAATCGGAAGTACCACCATGGCACTTGCAGTTTCGCCGCCATGAGCTAAGTCCCACTTTTCCCACCGCGGCCCCAGGGCAAAGCAGCCTGTGTGGGGCCTCCTTTCCTATCCCTCCACAGCACACTGATGCTGGGGAGTGAAAGCCCCAGTGCACTGGACACAGGGGGAGGGGCGGCAGCTGGAACTTCTGCCCTGAGCAAGCGAAAACCAAAACGCAGCACCCGTGTACCCCCTGCCTGTGTCTTGCATACCCCCGGGGGTAAACATACCATGGGTTGAGAAACACTGGATTATGTCAATAGGTCAACACCTTAGATTTAAGTACACACAGCAAGATGGCATTTGTTCTAGCAAGCATTTCATAAGTATGACTAGTCACTGCTCTGATTGAAGCTTTTATAGACCTACCCAAGGTAGTATGAAATTAACTTGGGCGGCATCACTCACATATAACTCATTAGGGCTATAAGAGCCCCATCCCCTGAAGTTGGTGGTTAGGCCAAATGATACTCAGTGATTTCATATCACTGTGCTATCATTACCCAACATACCTAATTAAAAAGCTAGTTTGGGTATACCTGTATGAACTGTAGCTACAGCAGCATAGACACAAATCTGAAGCAGACAATCAACAATCATTCCAATTAATAGCAGAAGTTCTTCTATTTGGCTATTAGAGGTTCCTTTCATTTTCTTTAAATAATACAGGTTTACAGACTAAACTGCAACTTAGAGATACCACCGTATCTACCCCATATCTTTAAAAAACATTACGGGTCATCTCTTTTAGGGTTCTGGAAGGCAGGCATGCAGATGTTATTGGTTTTTAAAATTGTGCAGTTCCTACAGTCTGTTAAAACAAACAAACAAAATCAGTGGAGGACGCTGAATCATACTGATGTGATTATAACAATCTTAGCTTCCCTGGATAAAGATAGATCTTTCTCACATGATTAAGTACAGCACTATACAATGCTCTGGACACAAATGTATATTCAAGCAACTCAGTCATTGCTGAGAGAATGCATCAAAACCTTTCTTTTTAAAGAACAGACTGCTGTGTCAAGAAAGGGTTTGCAGCAAGAAGGAACCATATACTATATTGGCTGATTGAAGTACCTGTGGTGTGGGAGAGGCTATTGGGGAAGGAGAAGGTCTCACTGGGGGGCCCACTTCAGCGTGGGTACCCTGGCACCAGAGAGGGTGCAGTATTCAGGGTGCACAGGCCCTGCCGCCAGAGAGGGAACAGTATTCAGGGTGCACAGGTCCCAGCACCAGAGGGCGTCATCATAAAAGGCCAAGGTGGCCTGGTGGTTGCGACTGGGAAAGTGGAGGTTTGGGGCCACTACCTGGCTTTGACCTTGCAGCCCCCAGACTGTGGGGCCAGTGGATGGGCCTCTGGGCCAGGGAGGCTAGGCTCCAGATTAGGGCAGAAAGGAGGGTCACGAGCCTCAAGACCACGGAGCTAGAGCCTCGGAGTCAAACCCTATCGGGTAGGTTTAGATGGGGAGGCATAGCTAGAGAAAGATGGGGGTCAGGGCCCGTGGTGGTGTACAAAAATACAATAGGCAGTCTCCCATCTACAAGAACATCAGTATAATATTTCCCATCAAGATGTGGCAGGCGAGTAGAGAGCGAGACACGTGGAACCTTAAAAGGGGACTCCAAGGGCACCCCACGTAGGGCGTGGATAACAGAAAAGATGGTGCTGAGGAGGGCGACCTGTTACAGGCGAGAACAACTGATAATGAAGAAAGCTACCGAACTTAAGTCATTTGTGTGATTTTTCTCATCTAACCACTTGAAATTTCAGTGTCTGTTGTCCAGGAGTGTGAAACAGCAGGAATATGTAATACTCATGCAGTAGAACCATAAACAGGCTGTACAGAAGAAATTATTACAATCCTACTTCCACTAACTCCTATCAATTTATATGGTAGAAGCCTGGAACCTTTATTTTCAACTATATTATTATTCAAGCAAGAAAAATATACAATACAATAAAAGCTGTGTTAACCGGCATTCTACTAGCTGGAATACTCTATTAACTGGAATTTCTGGCTGGCGACCACCACCCTGCGCTGCCACTACTCTGTGCGTGGCCGCTGCCACCCCCCACCCCCAAGAAGGTTGAAAACCCCTGCCTCAGATAACTGGAATTTTTAGATGCCCAGAACCCCTGTTCCCCATTCGTGCCAGTTAACACAGCTTTTACATGATATAGGAAAATTGAGGTACAGAGAATACCTGCAGAATTCCAAACCTGACCACGTCTGGAATACGATGCAAGATTTATATTCTAAAATGTCTTGGTATTTGACTGCCAGGTACGTTCTCCCTGCCTATCCCTTATGGTTGACTCATCCATCTCACTGACATTTCCCTAATTGGGACACAGAATAAATCATTTATTCACCAACATCAAATGGAATGACCCTGCCTTGAGCTGGGACTTGGATTAGAGGACATCCTGAGGTTCCTTCCAGGCCTATGTTTCTATGATAAACATAAGCAGATTCCACAGGAAATCAGGGCTATCCATGAAGAGATCTAGCACCTTCTCAATAGTTCTGAGGTGTTTCAAGATCAGCAACAACCACAGTGTTAGAGCTTCCTCTGTCAGAAGCTGCCATCTTATGGATGAAGAGCTAAGGGGAAGTTCCACTGAAAAGAAAGGGGCTACTGGCAACTTAATAGAGTTTTAGGGCTGTCCAGATATTCTTCACTGATATCAGTAAGTTCACAATGCATTTCTCCTCCAGTCTTAAAAAACTTTAAACAGGCAACTGTCACAGAAGCTGATCACATTTGTAGACAGGAAACTGAGGGCTCTACAGAAGGTGCCCTTGAGGGATGCATCTCAGGGACAGAATATGTACTCAGGAGACTACAGTCCTCCAGCATAGTGAGCTATTAATTTATGACTGTGGGTGAAATATAATTTTCTGTGTACATTCACCACCAAAGACAATGGCAGAAACTGTTGGATCACATCTAGTCAATCTCTTCCCCAACGCAGGGCTGTTCTACTTCCATTTACTTGTACTTTGTTCAATCTAGTTTAAGAATCCTGAAGATGGAGCTTTAAACATGGACAGACTTAAGTATATTTTTATATCAGCAATAATCACACTGGAAGCATACTGATCAGTTTAAACAAGGGTTGGCAGCTTATGACCCATGAGCTGAATCGGGACTGCAGTGCCATTTGATCCAGCCCGTGGACACTGGACTTCAGTGGTATTTAGGAATGAGGAGCTTTGGCAGCAGCTGCTTTCCCCCACCGACATGGGGAAAAGTGCTGGCTGTGGGTGCTCCCCACAGGCTATTGTGGGCATTTCCCCCATGATGCAGCTGGGAGAAGTGGGAGTGGTAGCTAGGTCATACCTGCCACCTCTGACCTGAACTGGATCAATCCGGCCTGCTGCCTTAAAAGGTTGCCGACGCCTGAGTTTTATAAGGTTGATTTCTATTACGAGTAATGGATAAAGACAAAACGAAGCATATGTATAATAACAGAAGAAGAACACATTTAGAGTCACTGGACACATCTACACAAGACACTTAATGTGCAGAAGAGTAATTCTACTATGCATTAGTGCAGCGGACAAAGCCCGCATACTGTCATTACAGGCACTAAACTTAATGTGCCTAATTACAATGCATTAATGAACGTGTAGATGTGTCCAGAGTCCCCCAAAAAAGATTTTCGCTTCAACGTTGTGCAGCATAAAATTTACTTTAATATCATGTAGAAGAGTGCCATCTACTGTTGCTATGAGCAAGTTCTTATACTGCACAATTACAAGGTTCCTATCTACACTTTCATCAGGGTTAATTCTTACTCAGATTGAAGTCAACAGGCCCACCATGGCTAATGCAAGAGCAATAACCAGATGGCTTGCTTTAAATAAAACAATCTAGGTTTAGTAAATTACTCTAGATAATATAGGCATCACTGAAACAAGTTATTTGACACTGAATTTTAGATTGTGTTTCAAATATAATAAAGTTTTCAAATGCACAACTACTTTCTAACTTGCTAAATTACGAAAGGCAGCAATCTTAAGTCAGGGCAGAGGGTTTTTTTTTGTGTGGACAGTTAGTATTATTACTATTCATTTCAAGAAACTAAATAAATGGTGGAGGTATCTTTCTCTCAAAATTGAACTTAAATAAGAATGAGAACCTTGTCTGCCTATGCTTAATGACTTAAATTTTAAATAAAGCATATCAAGCACACATCAGTCGGAGGTTTTTTCCTCATTAGAAACAATGAAACCAGGTCATTCTAATTTATTATGCTCTAGCAATAAGATCCATATATATACTTGTGATACTGCCATCTGCCACTTCGTAACTATCCTGTTTTTGAGAAATGCCTCTGTAAACTAGTCTATGATCATAACATGCAAGTCTATTAGCATTATGATCTAAGAATCAATGTAGTATGACTTGTTGGGAATGGGCAACTTTCTATGCTCCCCAGTAATTCAAATAATCCAAAATAGTATTTGCATGTTAATGATCAACAACAGACCCACTTCCCCCCATCTGCAAAGGTTGAAGAGAATTTATTTGAGGAGCCTCAAATCAACCTCTCACACACTAGACATACAGTAAAGTTATTTCAGAAAACACTGGTGGTGCAATTTATACACTTAAAAGGTAACAATATCCCATAGCACAGTTTTTCACATTGTCATTTTGTAGCAGTGTACCTTTGTTATTGATTTTACAAATACATATTTTTAGGGCTGCAAGTTGTAAAGTCTTTCTGTAAATATTGTTTAGTTTCGTAAAAATCCTGAATTGTTATGAAATTTTTATGTACAGCTTATCGGAAATGATAATAGCCAGTGCTTGCAAAGATAATGTAGCATACCTAGTATATTTTTAGAATAAAATATAATTTGAGTTTCTATGGAAATGTAATCCCTTACAGTGAAGCAAAAGGTCATTCAGAAATGAGTGACATCAGTCTTGTCTCTCAAATATACCCTCCTAATTCTGAGTATAATCAGTGGATTGGTTTTAATCTTTATTTCCTAACAACAGGATTCAATATTTTTCTAAATTTAGTCTGAAGGGAGACATATCAGGTACCTGTTTTCAGGGATTTCATTATAGGAAATTAATCTTGCTCTGAGAAAAAAAAAAGAAAAGAAATATACTTTATTCTCTCAAGGTTTGTGTTTTTGTGTTGGCATGTCATGATAAGGAACGTTGTCTAGCAGCAGATCTTTCCTGGGTATAAGCACTGCAACAGAAAGAAAAAGATCTGTAAGAATAATATTTTACTGTAATGATCCATAAAAATATATGGCATTTATCATTTTTACAAGCAACGGAGCAGTTTACTACAGAGCACATAGTTTTAAGGTAAACCTAAAAATAGCATTATGGTAATTTTTTAAGCCACCAAGACAGCATTAACATTTTACCTCCTGTGCATCAGAAGGTCTCCTCCACAAAGTTCACCTTTTTGCTGTTAAAAAATCTCTGAAAAATCTTTGAAGTAGCACATTTTCATTGCAACATTCTTCCACTTTTTGCAAAACAGAACAGCAAATTATATTAATTCCTGGTAAACCCAACTCAGGTGTTTATTTAAATTTTCAAATATATAAAATTAAAATTTAAAATGAAGCTTTCAGACATTCACTTGAGGACTTTAACCTTTAATTATGCTAGATTTGCTTTAAAAAAAAAGACAGGAAGAGAAAGTGCCAGATGACATTAACTGTTTACTAAGTTTTCACAAACAGCAGGAGAGAGTAGTGTGTCGGATTCTGTTTGGCTGTGCACCATGTTATCTGCCCATGGCTCAGAAAAAGTTCTGACCATCTGGCTCCTTGGACATCCATGTGGGAGTTCTGCACCTGAGGGCTGAGAGATTTGTGCCAACAGCACAGCTATAAGCTGAAGTACAATGGTTGCAAACATAACTCTGTACTTTGACTATTCAGGTAGGTACTAAAGGTACAGTAAACCTTTAAAATGTTCCAAATTCCATTCCATGTGTGTAATGAGCCACATTATATCCAAAGTATGCTGTTTTTCCATATATTCCAGAAAAGGGAGGAAATTGCTTCCTTTAAAGCTGCATTTCTTTTGAAATTTCTGGTCTTCGTACTGAAAAAGTATTCAACACATTTCTAAACTGAATAATATTTTGTGTTCCTAGCATAAAGGAAGCATTCATGACCTAGCTCATGTCTGTCTTTTCCTCTACATCAGGAATGTGCGCATGAGAATGAAATACAAGTTAAAAAAAAATAGGAGAGAGGAAGTAACAGAAAAAACAAACAAAAATTGAGAAAAAAAGAATACCTAGCTTCTTTTATCAAAAAAGCAAAGTTTTGTATACACACCTTCTGTCACTATAGCAAACCTAAAGTAAAAAACATCAGGATGCATGACATGTTTGGTATATAATGGAAAGATAAGCTCTACTTATATCAGCTTGTTTGGCAAAATAAAGCAAGTTACACACTGTGAATAATTTGACTCGACAGGCTGCACAGAAACGTCCTACAGAAAATATCTGTTTAGCAAAATTGTCTAACAACATAAAAACCCTAGCTGCAAATCTGCTTTCTTTATTAACAAGTAAGCTTCAAACCTATTAAGCCGATCTTTTTAAAAACATACTAATTAATCTAATGATAGCTAAGTATCACTTTGTGTCATAATTTTAAATAAAGAGAATAATATTGCTGAAATACATCTAAAGCTAAACTTACAACAGTGTAAAATGACTCCATCTGTTTAAAGGAAAAAATATATTGCATGTTATACAACACTCATCTTCCCAAGCTCCAGTCCTGGTTTTGGACTTTTGATTTCAAGAAACCTCATTACATTACAGTTATTTAAGAAATGTGAGATTCCAAACATGCCCTAAGTAGCTTATGGGTTGTCAGCTATAAAAGATATTGGTGGTAACTCAGTCGTAGTCGACAGCTATTAGGGCTGTGAAAAATGTCACCGGGTGTTTTGTTTTGAAGCTGTTTTGAGCTCGAAACAGAGACATCGAAATGAATCAAAAGGCTTCGAAACAAAACAAGGGCACTCTAAATGTTTTGAAAGTTTCAAAACATTTTGAGTTTCAAAGCCTGGCTTACCTGACTTCAACGCCAGTCCCAGGTGGCAGCGGTAGCATCCTGTTATCCAGTCAGCAGATCCATGGACTCCCACCCCTGGGAGGGCTGCGGGGCTGTGCCGGACTCCTCCCAAGGGTGCGAGGCCCTGGATCTGTGCACCAGATGACAGGAGGCTGCTGCCTGGGACCAGCGGCAGCAGCAATCTTCCCTGGCACTGGGCGTGGGCTGCGCCCAGTGCTGATCCCAGGCAACAGCTTCCTCTCATCCAGCGCAGATCTAGGGGCTCGCACCCCCAAGAGGAGTCTGGCACAACCCGGCAGCTCTCCCAGAGGTGTGTGCCCCCAGATCTGCGCCCCAGTGAGAGGAAGCTCACCCTGCTCGCCCCACCTGGGACTGGCACCCCCCCTGCTCACCTCTCTGCCTGGCTCCAGCCCCACCACATGCTCCGCACAGCTTACCAGCATCAGCAGCCGCACTCTTGGCCTCCTGCATGGCAGAGGGCAGCATGGCTTCACCCTAACTGCCAGGTATCTGCTGCCTCTATCACAGTACGCTGCTGCTGCCCAGCTCGCCGTGGTACAGCGTGGGACCATGTGCTTTTGGGAAGCTCTCAGCTATTACCTGGGGCTGCGCGCCACTCGCAGGGACCACCAGCCACACTGGGCCACATCTTGCGTGCACAGAAGTGGCACGCAGGGCTCGTGCATGCAGGACCTCGGCTGGTGTGGCCGGTGGTCCTCATGAGTGCTGCGCAGCCCTGGGTAACAGGCCAGAGCTGCCTGAAAGCACATGGCCCTGTGCCGTGCCACGCTAAGCCAGGGAGCAGCAGCGTGCTGTGGCAGAGGCAGTGGATAATTGGGGGCTAGGGCTGAGCCACGCTGCCCCCCACTGTGCAGGCAGCCAAGAGCACAACTGCTGATGCTAGTAAGCTGTGGCGGGGCTGGAGCTGGGGGGGGAGGGGGCGGGAGCTGGAGCTGTGTGGGGTGGCTTGCCCCAGGTGGGACAAGCAGGCTGAGCTTCCTCTCATTGGGATGCAGATCCAGGGCCTCTCACCCCCAGGAGGGCTGCCAGGCTGTGCTGGACTCCTGGGGATGCGATCCCCCAGATCTGGGCTGCATAAGAGGAGCCTCAGGCGGCAGCAGCAATCTTCTCCAGTGGTCTGCGTGGGCTCCACCCAGTCCCAGGTGGCAGCAGCAGCCTCCACCTCCTTTCATCCCACTGTAGGTCCGGTGGCCTACAGCCCTGGGAGGAGTCTGGCATAAGCCCCACATAGGAATGCGAGCCCCCGGACCTGCGTTGGTTTGACCACTTTGAGGGGCAGTTTCTCAGAAACCTCTGCATCTATCTCCTTGAATCTTGGCAGGCTTCATGCCCTCAGAAGGGGCTACCATCTCTGCAATGTTCATCCAAATCAGGCAAGAAATGACAAAGTTTTAGGCATTTTCATGATTCCCCATTATAGCCTATGGGCAAAACATTGTAACTCGTTGAAACAGTGAAACAGTTTTCATAGTTTTATAGTTGGTAGGGTCAGAAGGGACCTGAGCAGATCATCAAGTCCAAACCCCTGCTATGGCAGGAAATAGTAATGGGGTCAAACAACCCTGGCGAGGCGT